GAAGAAAACTACATGATGTCTATTCCCCCTGCAAGATCTTTAGTGAAGTCACAGGCTAAATATTATGCAAGAAAACCCTCCAGAACTTGGGGGCCTATCAAAGAAGCATGACTCACCTCCTAAGATCCATTTTAAGGATGAAGATAATGTTCAATATAACAGATATGAGACTGAAAGAGAAAAGTAGAAGTCTTCTTATTTTTAAAATGGTGCTTAAAACATTAGAATTCATAACTTATTGGAATAGATGATACTAATGATGCCTTATTGTTCAACCCTTTAATTCTACCCCATAATAGTCCCAGTAAGCAACCAAGATTTAGTTCCTGAATCTGCATATTTAAGTCAAAAGGATAATCTTGTTATAATACCTAAAATTTGATTCCAGAGGAGAGAACATTCTCATGTAAGAATAGGAACTAGAAACACTATTATAATAGAATATAATAGGAGGGAAGGCGGGGTAGGGGTTGGGTAAGCCTGGTGGTAGATAATAAGGAGGGCACGTATTGCATGGAGCACTGGGTGTGGTGCATAAACAATGAATCTTGGAACACTGAAAAAATAAAATAAAATAAATAAAAAATTTAAAAATGCAAAAGATACACACAATAAAAAATAATAGAATAGAACATGTATTGGGGGCAAAAAAAGAAGAATGCAAAGGGAAAAACCAACATTAGTCTAGAATTTGGTTCCAAGGTTCCCATATACCACCTTTCATAAAACGGCAACAAAGAAATTCCAGAGGATCAGGAAAGAGATACAATGAATATTACAACCAATAGAATTTTCATGGTAGTCATATAACAAGAACTGAAATATGCACACTGTATCATTTCAACAATGAGAAAACAGGTGTTGAGACCAACCCAGCAGATTGAAAAATGGATCTTGGTCTGCTGCTCATGGCACAGAGATATTACTCTAACGGTCTATATCTGGGGCCCATTTTTCTCTTAAACCACTGGACTACATAAGCCGTAGACAGAAGGCAAATTGTGCCCATGGAACAAATAAAGAAGAGCACAAGAATGTGAAAGTCACTTCCCAAGGCATTCAGCTAACTAGCCTGCCTCTCTATTCAAATCCAGCAGGATTACAGGGAAGGAGGGAAGTGAATAAAAGAATAATTGGGCTAGCTTTTGTTTTCTTGCATAACAAAAACCAGTATTGTGTAAAAAATATAGAATGTAGGGTTTTTTTTGAACAGAGAAGAATGATAAAATCCTTAAGTCATGAGGAAAGTTGACATTTTCTTCTGAAATACTAGACTTTTAGATTCAGAAACTATATTATAGTTGAAAGATCAAGCTTTCAGAAATGCTTTCCTGATTCAGAAATCAGGAAATTCCAAAGCAAGCCTACAGCAGTGCTTTCTTGGACACGCTACACGTGGTACATATTTATGGTCCATGTTTAACGAATAGCTGGGAGATGAAAAAAAATTTCCACACATTCATCATGGTGGAATATGGTCTACAGCAGGAAGGGGACAAGTCTGAGATGTCCTGAACCCTACTCTGAGAATTAATATTCTGTTAATCTAATTTTAGCAATTTGTTTTCTTTTTTTTTTAATTTTTAGAACAAAAGTCATCCTGGTTGAAAAAAATAGATGTGTGTGTAAAATACTATGTCCATCACCATCCTATAAATATGAGAAGTGGTTCCCCTCTTTTGGCGACTCTAAAAATCTCATGAAATGAATGCTTATTTTTCTCAACTCGAGACCTTAATTTTCTATCTTTGGAACTTAAAAATACTTACATAATTGTCTTCAAATATGGCTTGACTTTTCTTCTTTGATGGAAACAGCATTCCTGCCAACTTTAAAATTTATAGCTACAACCATATTTTTTTAATTTTAAAAGCACAAAAAAATACCACAACCCAAGTGATTTTGAAATGAACATTTCTTCATATTCATAATTGTCCCATGTCACACTGAAATGCACTCCAACTCAGCATACAAAGGGAAAGAACATTCACCTCTGAGTCTCATTTAGAGACAATGTCAGCAACTAAAAGAATATTCCAGTGGCAATCATACTCCAGTCATCTTAAATTTCATAACAAAGTAAAATGGTGCACTAGTAATCAAATGTGTGTGTGTGTGTGTGTGTGTGTATTGCTTTCTCACTTTTACGGTCTACACAACAGTTTGCAAAAACACTTTCCCATAACTTCATTAATGTGATCTTCCAACACTCCTGAAAGGTACACAAGACAGGGATCATTTATTATTCCATTTGCTAGAGCAGTAAACTGAGATACAGAAAGGCTAACTGACTTGCCAAAACCCAAAGCTCACCAGTGACAAACCATGGAAAAAATACCCAGACTGCTGACTCCCAGGCCAGTCCTTTAAAAGAAAGTCTGGATGTGCAGTTTAAAATCGATGAAAACTGCATAGTTGCTAGGTCTCTAAAGCAGTTTGAACAATGCTTCCTTGTTCTCCCCCAACATCATAAAGGTTCGTAGTCTTATCTCACTGCTGGAAAAGTGGGGCAGTCACCTGGATTACGGACAGACTGCATCAAAAAGCTGAGTTTGAAGTACTTACATTTGAAAATTATATGCCTTCGGAAACCTAGTCAATATAATACTGTAGTTGAACAGCTTCTGAGGTAAAAAAATATATATATATTGAAACTCTGGACTACTTATCTTTAAACAAATTAAGTGTATGGGGCGCCTGGTGGGGTAGCTGGTTGAGCATCCAGCTCTTGGTCTTGGCTCAGGTCACGATCTGAGGGTCATGAGGCTGAGCCCCACGTGAGGCCCCACTTCAGCAGGGAGCCTGCTTGAGATTCTCGCTCTCCCTCTCCCCAGCCCTACCCACCCTCACCCCCCACACTTGCGCACACACGCGCGCTCTCTCTTTAAAATAAATAAATGTTTATTAAAAAATAAGTAATCTGGGGGAGGGGATGGTTCAAGAAGACCCCAGGGTGAAATTAAATTGCAGCACTGATTACAAAACCTGTTCAAAAATGAGCCCTTTCCAAACTCCTTACGATTCTTCTCTGTTTCCTCCTTGAACCAGGTACCACAAAGGGGCAATGTTGCAACATCCTTTTCACTCTTAAGTTATGGTGCCAAGTTTACATCTACATCTGCTACATTTTTATAAGAACCTAACTGGCATTTGTAACCAATAAAAATCAACATTAAAGGCAGCATTCCTGTTATTTCAAATGATTCAAGGGTTTGTTGTTCTTTTAAATTCCTCAAAGAAGCAAGTGAAGTAAATGGAGAATGTGTCAGCTTAACTTTTTACATGTGTTTCTCTCTACTTTTCAATTATTGGGCAAGCTCCTAAAGACAAAAATATTTTTTCTTTTTCTTATATATTTTCCCCCATAGCAACTAGTGTAGTGCTTGGCACCAGCACACAGAGTTCACTGATGGTTCTGGAAACTGGGCAGAAATTCTCAGGTCCCCACTTCCAAGCCTAGGGATAGAAAGGCATATCAGAGTCTAGGTTTCTTCCTACTGGTGATTTTGCAGAAGGAAATGAGCAGTGCAGATGGTGAGAGCCACAGGGGCTGAAAAAGAGAGGGAGGCAGGTCTATGTGAAATGCCTGTGAAGGAAAGACCTGTCTAGAAGTTGGAATGGGTAGTGCGGCTAAACGTGCAACTTGATCAAAGGGAAGCACTCATCACTGTGCTCTAACAACTTTACACATAGGTCACAGACAGAAAATAGTTGAAAAAAGCTAACTACCACACAATGGATGCAAAATATGTCTACACCCTTGGTTAAGCCATCCCGACAATAGCCACACTTAGAATGAGAAAATTTTCCATTGGATAATTGGGCCTTTGCTCCCTAACACATGCCTCGAAATTCCTCAGGCCACCGTGTAGTCTCACTGACATGATCTACATTATGTGTTGCATCTAAGTCAGAGTATAATTAAATAAAATTGTTATACATTTTGTTGTTATATTTTTTTTACTTGTCCTATTCTTGAATATGCAGTTCAAGTAATGGTACTTAATCCCTTTAGTTTATATTTTTATAAAATAGACCATGCTTTATATACTTGAAGTTGGAACCATGTACATGCCACAGATATATTCTAGATTTATAATGAAAACCCCTTAAAAGCAAACAAAAACTGGTTCCACTAAAGGGCAGGAAAAAAACGGTGAAATCAGGGTCTTGAAAATGTTACATGATGAATGACCAGCCCTGAATAACTAAGCATATCCATATGACAGTATTTAGGAATATAGCAGTAGAATATTTAAATATAACCGAATACATGCATGATGGAACGGCAATATATAGACAAGATCATGTGAAGTATAAACACGCTGTAGAAAAGAGAATGTTCATCCAAAAAGATCCTGTCTAAGTTTACAAAGGATAGTTAAAAAAAAAAAATAGGGGCACCTGGGTGGCTCAGTGGGTTAAGCCTCTGCCTTCAGCTCGGGTCATGATCTCAGGGTCCTGGGATCGAGCCCCACATCGGGCTCTCTGCTCAGTGGGGAGCCTGCTTCTCCTCTCTTTCTCTGCCTGCCTCTCTGCCTACTTGTGATCTCTCTCTCTCTGTCAAATACATAAATAAAATCTTAAAAAAAATAGACCTCTATATTCTTATTTAGGGATGTTAAAATAGCTTGTATCCTGTGAATTGCATTTGTTGCTTCAAATTTCTGTGAGAAAGTGTTCCCAAACATATTTTAAATGTGCATCTGTTCCTGCTTATCTATGAGAGTTCAAGTACAAACTGTAGATCATCATCCAAAAACAATGACTATCCAAGACCCATATGACTTCATATGCTGCACAACGAAAGAGCCAACTACTTTATCGAGAAAACACAGCCTCATGGCCATGAGGTTCAGACCGCCTACGTGGTCGACTCAGAGTTAATCCTGACACAGAATGTGCTGTCAAACGTAGTAGAGTTGTAGCAGAAATTCACAATGTGCATTCTAACCAAACCAGCAGGAGGAATGCTTGTGGCAATCAAGCGTTTCACGTACTTTGCAAACCCAATGAAATCTTCGTGGTTGGTGTTGATGTAGGAGACTTGGATGTCGATCAGTAGCAGAACCTGTAGGTCAAAGAGAAATACTTCAGTGAAAACCCCTCGTAAACATTCTCGATATGAAAGTCAGTAATTGCCTGCAAATGACTTATCTTCATCTGATTTTCTAAAAAGATGCTTCAGTTAAAATGAAAAGCTGCATTAAACTTTTTCATTAGACTCTCGTAATTTTTACTCTAAATTCAGAAGTTAAAAATCTACATCAGAAACCTGAGCCCCACATGAAGACAACAGAATTAGAGCTTACAGGCATGTACAGTTTGCCTATTTCACAGAGAACGTAGAATTATTCTGATCTTCTAAAATATAGGCATAATGTTCAAAAGGACATGTGTGTACCAGTGAGGGGCTACTCCTGTAGACACTAATAGCCATGAAATAACAATATTATCTCTTGTTTTTCCTCTTCTTTTCTACCTCTTTAAGCTCCTTTTAGGCAAGCAGAAGAAACATCTCGTCAACCAACTCAAAAAGGCAATATTCAAATATACAGAAAACGTCCCTGAGATCACCAGGCTTCATTATCAAAACAAAACTCCAGTCAGGTCTCTGCTGAAAGATTACCTCCTCAGAGGGACCCTCCCTGCTCCTTCTATCTAAACTAGCACTCTCTTCAGATCCTGTCACCCTGCCTTATTTTCTTTTGTAGCACTATCACACGCTGACACAGTAAGTTTCTACATATTCCATATACAGACCCCACCTGCCATATCCACTGATCAATCCCCAGAGCCCAGAACATCATGCACATTCAATCAAACTGTCAAGGAATGAATTGAACGCATGTTCCAGTAAACATGAAACATGAAAATGTTTGAATCACAAGTCAGAGATGCGGAAAGTCCCTCTGGAGAAAATATTCTTCAACAGGAGACGAGAGGGCTTAGAACCAGAGAGGATGCAGCAACCAACCAGAAAGCGTAGGAGAGTTGTAGTCAAGAGATATCCCAAACTGAGTTCCCCTTCCTGTTTCCTTTTGTTCTCCCACTGTGTCCCCGGTTTTTCTAGAATGTTGAGACTTGTTAATAGGAAAAAATACTTAAGATTCCCTGCCCACAGGGGCACCTGAGTGGCTCAGTTGGTTAAGCAGCTGCCTTTGCCTCATGTCATGATCCTGGGGTCCTGGGATGGAGTTCTGTGTTGCCATGGTGGGGCTCCCTGCTCAGCAGGAAGTCTGCTTCTCCCTCTCCCTCTGCCCCTCCCCAACCCCCACTCATGCTTACTCACTCTCTCTCTCTCTAATAAATCAATAAAATCTTAAAAAAAAAGAATCCTTGCCCACATACCTCCAGAGCCCTGCACTTTGACTGTTGAATGAACATCGGAGAAGCATAGCAGGCACAGTCACAGGGCCTCCCTCACTGAAGAGGATATTAGAGTGCATCAGTGCCCTCCTAATAACGGCTCACGGACACGGGCTCTATAATGCTTCCCAGAGAGTACTTCCCCAGGAAAGCTTTCTCAGATCCTCAACCTGTACCCCCCAAACCAGACTGGATCAAGCTATTACTGTCATGTAGACTATCGATCCTATTATATTTTATATGTACACTGCACCTTACACTTTTTATTTACTGTATATACCACAAATGTAACTGATTATTTGTATATATTTTGTTTGATGTTTTGCTTCCCTGCAAGAGTGCAAGGGCTCCATGGAAGTAGGAATTGCCTTGTCTTGTTCACTGTAGACCCATAATCCAGCAATCTACAATCTAGCAATCTACCCGTAATCTACATTCACCACTATAGACCCGTAATCCAGCATGGTACACTCAGCTGGTGCCCAGTAAGTATTTGTGGCTCTGAATTTATAATTTCTACCACCCCTGAAGAAGACTTTGCTTTAAAAGGAGCAATTTATTACCGTATAATTAGTACCTGGCCACTTATTGTCTCTCACTACCCAGTGCTATGAGCTCGAAGGCTTTGCTTTCATGGCCAGTCTCGGCCGGTCATTTCTGAGTCCCAAGGGGACCTGCCAGAGAGAAGAAATGGATCATCCCAAATCCATCCCCACTACCAATCACAAAGTCAAGGTATGGTCACTAATACTGTCCTTGCGTGAAAAGTTTCCTCTCCTCAGATACAGTTTCATTTCTTCTCTTAATGAAGGAAACTACAGGGTTAGGAGGAGTTGTCATTATTAGATTATCTGTGGTATTGCCTCCATTCTCCCTACAATGAAGCCAGGTTCTGTTAACTGTCACATTCCCAAATCCGTTTGGCCAAGGGTTTATATCAATAAACCGTAATGTTTAAGCATAGATAAATCATCGCCACCATAAAGAGCCGATGTCTACATAACTCTCAACACTGCCTAAGGTTGTCATGAGTATCTTGGCCATTCATGCACATTAACTTGGACTGCAGTATAGGAAAAAAGTAGAAAAAAATAAAAACTATGGCTGCTCTGATTCACATTCCTGGAAACTGGGAGTCTGTGTTCATCCTAGGAAAAGAGCCAGGTCGCATGTGGGGGATGAAAAGGAAAATAGTACATTTTTCCCCACTTTTTCACTTTCTCAGAGTTTCTCACTGCCTTTTTAGCCACAGTTATTGAATACTGAGTTAAAGAAAAGCAAAGCTACCCCTGCTAGCAGTTAGCGCCACAAAGTCAGCCACCTTCACAGGCAGGGACATACACTAGAAGACGAGCAGGCACACACAGATGTTTGAAAAAACTGTTTAAGAAAAAAATTCACAGATTTATGGTTTCCCCATATGTATATATATATATTTTTTTCATTGTTAATACTTTCACCCCCACACAAAGCCTCCAGAGCAGAGGCTGCTAATAGTGTTCTTAAAATTTTTTTAAAACTGAGAACGAACTACAAGAACACCTCAAAGCATTTCTGGTACAGAGGCTGGCGGAAATGGGTCACCCTCTGACCAGCTAGTTAGAAGCATCACATGACCCAAAGCAGCACAGAGTTCAGAGCTCGTACGTGAGATCTATACACATGGACATATTCCCGTTACTAAGAACACACATGGTCTTGCTACACTGCACAGGTCCATATCACAGGGGTCAAGCACCAGTTTCTTCAAGTCCTTAACTGATTAACTGTCAGACCAGCCCATCTGAGATGGCCCCTTCGGAGACAGACACCTGCCCCATCCCTTATCGCCTGCTTGGAGAGTGGATTCATCACTACCTCAGAGTTGCAGATGGAAGACAATTTCTCTTGAAATCAGAAAAGGCAATTCTTTCTCACAGACCCTATGTGTCACAGCTCTTCAGGAAAAACAACAAAAACCACTAAAATTAATAAGAACTAAGAGCTGTACGTGGGTGACTTCACGTCATCGTCACAAAAGCTTCTGAGTTAACGGACATTATTTACCCCACGTTAAGTTGGGGAAACCGAAGCATGAGACGTTGAGTACCTTGTTATTTACACAGAAAGTAATGAGATGGCCTGCATTCGAGCTCGGGCAGGCTGAACCAGAAGCCCACAATCCTAACAACACCGCTGCCTGAGAGTATCATTTTAGGAAAACAAAAACTCTAAAACATGAAACATGAAGAGGTTAACAGCTGCTTATAATTAAGATAATACTTGTACTACTTTTTCTTCAATATTGTTTTTACATAGGATTCCTAAGAGTTAAGTAGGATATATTATCCCTTGAATTTTACAAAGACACTAAATTAAAACGGTTATCTTATTGACTTTAAGTCAGGAGTACGGCTGATACTAGAACTTAAGTTTCCTTGGTCCCACAGCAGCCATGACGACGTTAGATGTGCGGGGGATCTTTGGGCGGCGGGATTTTATGTCTGGCCCTCAGCTTCATTTCACTGGCTCATGAGTTAACATTAGTTTGTTTATTTCCACCAAGTCACAACGCCTATTTTTTCCTCTTTTGGCTATTGTAGCTATCCAAGGGTGCAGAAGCTGGAAAACAAGTGAAAACTATAAATAATGGTTAATTAACTTTCAAAGCACAATGGTAAAAAGTAGTAGCAATGAATCCCATAGCTCAAGCAGAGAGCGAGCTGTTACTGAATCAAATATCCCAACCTACTGGGCCTCCGTCCTTCTGTCTCTTCACTTTGTCCTGCCTCCCCCACCCCCTCGACAAGCCCTCCGCACCCCTGCAGGCACCCTCTGTGGCAGGTTGCCTGCGTCTCTCTCCCTGCACTTTGTCTCGCTCTTCTATTTTGCCTTCCTCCTTTTTTCCCCTGGCTATCCCTCTCCGCCTTTCCAACTCACCTAAGAAGCATAAAAATCTTAGAGTTCTAACTTAGAGAGACTTCTGAGATCATACAGACCAACATCCCAATGTTGTACATGAGAAAACAACAGTCCTGAGGAGTGATTTTCACAGGAACATGCTGTTATTTTGTGGAGAACACATGGCCTGAGTCCAGTGTCCTCTCCGCGCTGTCACAGCTGTGTCCTGGAATCCAAGAGCACTTGAAAACCTCCGTGCTTCCCATTATAATGTTTTCTAAATAACCAAGAACAAAATCTACCTAAATTTAAGAAGCTTTTATTATTTTCACATAGTTCTTAGCTTTTCTTTTTTAATGTATTATCTTCCCATAAAATAATCTTTTTAATTTATGGAGCTAAATAGGATTAGAAGATAATTTTAAGGTCACGCCTTACAAGCCATATGCTTTTACTAAACAGAAATGTTTAAAAGAACTGTTCTTCAACATTTTGTTTTCCAATCGTAGGTTCCATGGATAAGCACCTCAGAAAAGAAGTCACAAACACCAAACATTGTGCATAACATTTTTGGAATTTATGAATATCCTGATACCCATCTGTGGGCACATGAAAGGTTAAGAATCCCTGCTTCAAGAAAAAATGTGGTGTGTGTCTGGGTTCTTGATTTTCAAAGTGGGGTACGTACATGCTAGGGGTACACACGATGATCCACAGTGCACTGAGGGAAAAACAAATAACAGAACTCCTCCTACTGCTTTCAAAATGCCACCCTTCTCAAGTTTTTACACTTGTTTATATTTTTAACATACACAAGATGTTAGCATAGCAACACACGGATAAAATTCATAAATAAGTACAAATAAACATATGTCGTTGTGTTCCCAGTGCCTTTTTTCCATTCAGAGACAGGCCAACTGTTGGAGACCATCAGACAGTCCTGGAGAGAGACCTACTACTCCCCACAAGGACCTCCCGCCAAGGAAACCTCCCCTCACCTGGTCCTTTGTCTTCCCTTCTCGTTCACGAATGTGGTTGGCAACGATCCTTTCTGTTTCCTCACAGAGTCTGGGGAAGTTGGCCAGCTGTTAAGAGACACAGATCTGAGTGTTAATACTCAAAAAGTTATGCTTCAAAAAAAGAATTAAAGATAAATTATTTTCTCTTACAGCAGGTACATATTGCAAATCTGGAAGCAAAAGTAAAATATCCTAAAGAAAAATGGCAGAGTGACAGAAGGGGTCCACAAACCATAATCCAAATAACTACATTATCTGATAGGAAACACTTTACAACCAGTGGAGAGACTTCCTGAAAAACAACAACCCAGAAACCCAAATACCATCCACTACTATGCTCTACAGAGTTGGCACTCGATAAAGTTCAAAGATAAGGAAGATGGAAATGAGGATGAAAAGGAGAATAATTACTCACATTTGTAGAGTACTTACCATGTTCTAGGCTGTGCTAAACACCTCATGAATTCTCTCATTCAAAATTCACAACCATCATAAAAGATCGATTCTATTATTAACCCCAGTTTACAAAGGAAAAAAGTAAAGCCCAGAGAAGTTAAGTAACTTGCCGAAGAGTAAACAGCTCAGAATGGTTGGGTCCAGGATTCCAACCAAGTCCTCAGACTCCAGAGCCCCTTGTCTTGCCCACCATTCTTTGAGAAGGATTCATTCCATGAACCACAGAGATATTTTTTAAATTCTTTCCTAACAGATGTGTTTGTGTGTACACAAATAACTCATTTCCATCATTCATCCCATCTAAATTATGCAGGTAATTATCAAAAATTTATTTTACAATAGGGAATGAGTTAATCACAGTTGTTTTCAATGTAAGGAAGAAGAATGGGATCCTGTGAGAATGCTTAAGGAGGCCTGACGAGAAGGACTCAGTCAGGTAAAGTTCAGGGCAGCTGCGGGGAAAACGGAGCTCTCCAAGCAGAGAACGTGTGAAGACAACGTGGGACAGAGACAATGACTGGTGAAAGAAATAAAGGAAGATCAGAGCAGAGAGCGAGGAAGATGATCCGACTGCGAAGCTAGAAAGACAAACGGGTCAGCTCGGGGGTCCTTGCAGATCTGCTATGCATTCTGGCTGCTGAAGCAATTCAGACGGGAAATGAGGGTGACTCGGTCTGGGATGGCAACAACAGGATGGAGAGAAGGGCACAAATTCATGACTTAGGACCAGCGAAAGGTTAATTCCAATCCTTATTTAAAGTACTTGCCAAAAATTTTTTAAAAAGCACTTGCAAATTAATAAGAATAACATTAATATAAAAACAGGCAAAGAATAGGATTTTATTAAAAAAGGAATTTAATGATCAGTAAGCAGAAGAAAAATATTAAATTGCACGAATGATCAAAGTAATGCAAAGAAAGATAATAACTATTGTTGTCAAACCGCTGTAATTATTTTTATAATCCTTACTACAAATGAAGGTATACCAAAACTAGCACAGTTTAAACCTGCTGAAGAAGTGACAATTAGAATGATCATTCTGGAAAGCAACTTGGCAATATGTATCAAAAAGTCTCAAAGCCATCTGTTTTTTACGTCTGTTCACCTAATTACTTCACATGATTCTGAGATAAAATAATATGGACTTTCATGACAGTATTACTTGGAATAGCAGCAATAGGACAAATGAATGAACAAAAAAACTCTTCAAACCACTTGCGTCTCTAACTCTAATGACATTAAATAAGCTAAGGTAGACCCACTTATGGGATATAATTAGTCACTCCAAATAATATTCAATACCTAATTTTTTATTCTATCCAATTCCTAAATATTATCTAATAACATGGTAAAGGTTTATAATATAATATGATATATATTATAAAATAATATAATGTATATATGTATAACAAAATATAAGTAATAATATAAAATAAAATAATATGATATAATATGAGACTAAGTGAACAAAATTAGGCTCCTAATTTTGTGAACATAGGTGAACATACACACACCTACACACAGTCATGGGCTATCATACACCTTGATATCCTTCAAGGATGTAGCCTAAAACCTAACAAATCTCAAAATTCTTGAGTAACGCCATAGCACCTAATATTCTCCTAACTTTAAGCAATTAGAACTAGGCCTCCCTGAGCCATGGCTGCTCCGTGGTCAAACAAGGTCACTGTATGCACCAACTGTACACACACACAGAGTCTGAGCTAGACAACAAACCGCAAATCTTCATGGAACCAGAGTAATCACAAATCACAAATAAATATTAAACCTCCTGAAGCTATTATCTACTGTCTGTACACAGAAAAAGATGTATGTAAATGCTACAAAATATTAATAGGCATAACCTCTTTGACTGATGGGATTATGAATAAGTTGCATTTTTTTCTATATACTCCCTATATTCTCCAAATTTTTCTACAGTGACCCTGGAGTGCTTGTATAACATCATAATAAAAGCATAGAAACCTGGTTGCCTTGGTTGTCTCAAAAATCCCAGCCCAGTGTCTCTTCATGAGATCACCAAACCATCACCCTGTTACTGGGACCCCAAGCTGAGTCCCAAGATGTATTCTCATTTGGGAGCTTATCTCATGAATGACTACGGGACAAAAATGGGGCTTCCACTTCAAGTTTTGGAAGCATTCTCCAAGAAAAGTTCTACCATCCCAGAGCCCTTTTATATTTTGAGAATATTCTAAGTTATTTTTTGTGGGGCCTGTAAAAAGTTGTAAATATAGAAGAGATAGCCAATCCACACCAGCCCAGTGCAAACCTGGGCAGTGTATCTGACCCTAACCACCAGCCTGGCCTAGGCCACCAGGGCCCCTGTTTCCCCTCTGCACTCAGGGCCTCCCAAGCTAACAGCGCCTCTTTGCTTTTTGACAACAGTCACACAAACACAGAATCGCACACTTGCAGAAAAACGGCTGCACAACGACGGTAGTCTTCTCAGGAGAACAGGCGTGCCTTCTACAGCATTCAGCAAATGCATGATAGCAGAAGCTTATTTTTAAAACACCAAAGAGTGGCACTACAAATTTTTATTCACACAAAAAAGTATTGGGTCGTTGAAGGACCCCAGGTGGTAGGCTGCCATCATTAAGTCAGACAAAGGCCAAAATGGCAAGAATATCCCAAGAAGTTGAATCACCCAAGAACCCTCCCATCTACTGGCTGTGATGGGAAGTTTGATCTTGTGAGTGTGTGTGTGTGTGTGTGTGTCCTGACCTTTCCAAGCTTAGTACCCATGGGATTAATTTCACGAGGAGAAGAGCCCACCAGAGCCATAACTTTGTACCCAGAATTGAGACAACTGGAAAGTAAATGAGTCTAAATTTTAAGTGGAACAAAAGGGAAAGAGAAGACACTGAGAGAACCCGCCTCATGGAGGCAAAGGAAGAGAAATGTGGAAGGGACACTACACAGAGCAGGGCCGAGGCACTGCTGAAGGCAGTAACGCAGCTGGTATGGCTTCTGTCTAGTTGGGTGATCTGGGAAGACTGTAGAAGCATAAGAAGCAAAATGTTGGCTTGAATTGCTGGTTCTCAAATGAAGCACTCCTGTCCCAATTCTTCTCACAATATATATAAGAAGGCAAATGTCCCCCTCACATTCTGAGCGATCTCTGATCAGGCTTCCCGACACATTTCGTGAGTTCCTTCAGCGGGAGATCCCACTCAGTTTGTGTAACGCTTTTCTTTGTTTTAAAAAATACTTGACTCAGATTGCTCAGTTCAATTCCTTGCCTCTCTTCATTGTTTCTTATTTAAGGCATAATCAGTTTCCTCAACCATTCTTTGTTAACCGTTATAATTTCCGATTTCTTTGGCTCTGAATACCATATTTAAAGACTGCAGTTCTAAGAATATACTTACTTTGTCAAAATAATCAAAATTGTAATCATGTATGCCAAAATAATACTGATCTAGAAGACACCATCTTTAGACATTTATTCCCCTATTAACTATTTAAAATCCTAGAAATTCATTTGTACAGAATCAAGGAATTAAGATTTTGCTATTGGTTATACTCATTTTATATTCCTAAACTCATTTCATGACCATCATTCATTTAACAAAGATTCACTGGGCAACTGCCATAAGCCAGCCTGATGCTCAGTTTTTGTCAAACTACCTGATATTAAAAATCAGTCTTGTGGGACACCTGGGTGGTTCAGTCAGTTGAAGCAGCTGCCTTTGGCTCAGGTCATGATCCCAGCGTCCTGGGATTGAGCCCCACATAGGGCTCTCTGCTCAGCGGGGAGCCTGCTTCCCCCTCTCTCTCTGCCTGCCTCTATGCCTACTTGTGATCTCTGTCTATGTGTCAAATAAATAAAATCTTTTTAAAAAAGTCTTGAGTAGCAGATTGACTATACAGATAAACTGTCACACCAGAGAGAAATATTTTATAAAAATCAAGGGAAAACACACAAAAACAAATGGCTAAACCTGCTCTGAAAAGGCCTCAGAAGATTTGATACTGAAATCATGACAGTGAAGCTTCCAGACAGAGCTGGACATTGACCAAAGGACAAATTACTTCTAAACAGTATATTGTTAAAATTATACTGACTACTCTTAAGTAATAAGGAATATTCAATGTAGAAAGAATGCAATACATATGACGTTAGGAAGAAAAACTTTAAATATACGATTCTGAGAGAAAAGTTTAATTATGGTCTGAGAGAAAGTAGTATCAAATGTTTTTTAATACAAAAAATGTTTTAATAAAAGCCAATACTTTAAGTGTTATTTAGGGTAGCGTTTAATTATTTTGGTGGTACCTGAATATAAAAATTTACTTTTTAAGCAAGGAGCACATTTTTCCCTGGGGGGGGGGAATATAACACTTGAATGGCCTTTCTAGCCAATAAAACAAAAATTATACACTTATAAAAGTTACTAACCATTGATTAATCAGATCATGAGAGCCATGCCATTAGGTTTCTCTTGGAACAAACACAAGGTGAGGCAAGATTTCCACACCTCCAAGAGTAACGAGTTCAATGCCTCAAGCAAAGACTCAGATTATTAGGTACCAGCTGTCCATAGTTCCATACCAAACATAAATGGAGAAAAATCAACCAAAG